TATGTAAATTAAAATAGATTCATTCTCTTAACTCGTTGTGAATATAAAGAAGGAAAAACTTTTATATAAATTTTGATGCATTGATATATTCGCACGCACGTACCTGACGCGTACGCAAAGGGCAATGTCCGCAAGCAGCGAGGGTGTAATAAAAATGCAGATGTGGAGCTAGTATTGTAGCGATCGATCGAAGCAACTCAACCATTCCGCGGCAATTGATCGGTTTCCTGTGCACTTAGCTGCACGAGTTTGCACAAATTGCATCGACACGCGCCATCACGGAGAACTCCCGTTTGCACCTAATTTCGAGTTAATCAGCTGGAAATACCTACACCGTAAAGGCATCTGTTTTATCGACTCTACGCAAGGGTGGGAAAGGGTGAAATACCGACCCGGATTACCGGCCCCTTTTGGCAAGATCGTTTCATAATGACTATAATAACATTGCATGTTCAAGCTTGTATAACTTTGTGTATCTCTAATGAATATAATTTGAGAATTACTAATCGTCGTGATAAGATTCATATAGAACAAGAGCGTGATATGTATTTTAACGTTAGCTGTAAATTCTTATACCATAGTAATGATACTTCCGAAGAACCACTTTTTGTACTTGTGTCTTCATGCTAATCTAATTATGTCAATTAATTATTTATAACTTGCATACATATACTTTAATTATAGCTCATTTTTACTTCCTAACATTTATATTTCAATATATAAAACCTATGGATTGTTTTTCAAAAACTTTTGCTCTTAAAATGACAATATTATATTTAAGTCATTTGTTTCTTTTTGTAAAAAATTAAGATTAAAGATACTGATATCAATTATTTACTTATTAAATCATAAATTAAAAAATATTTTTATATTTGAAAAAAAGGATAAAATAGAAAACAAAAAAGAATAATTGAAAACATTTTAAATAAAGCAAATCAGATGCTAAAAATTGTGTAAAGGGGTGGTATTTTATCTCTTGGCGCTTACCACCAGATGTCGCCAGTATTTGATACGCGAGTGTAATAAAAGTAATAAAAGGTGTGTCGGTATTATGTCTGTGCAGGCAACTTCTTTAACAACAAAGGTAGAAATATATATCATGAAATTATTATTGCTACAAATAACTATAAAGAAATAAATCGATTACAAATTCTTTGATATCAAATAAAGTATTTGACAATAATTTATAGCTTAATAATTTTTAAATTTAAATATTTATATTTATTATTTATACAATTTGTATAATTCGGAATTTATCATTTGTAACAATACCATTAATCTATTTGTTGAATGTATTTACAACATATCACACTATTCTTCGCGTCTTGTGCTTTGTATAGAATATATTTCTAAGATAATATCACTTTTCTATTGTACTTATAATTTATAGTTAATATTTTAACAAATATTTTCTTAGAATATAAAATGCTTTATATTAACTTGCAACCGCAGTATTTGCCTTGAAATACATTATTTAGCAAAAAGTAAAGACAAAGCCTGATTAAAATTTAAAAATATAGATGCTAAGGTACAAAATTGACTGGAAAAAAGCGCTCTTTCTACGTTCTATACTCTCTCATGTATAATCATATATGTGATATCCGCTAGAACCTGTTTCCTGCAAGGCAGGTTTAATGCATACTCCGTTAGACGACGTGTGCGTATGCTGGCGCCAGCTACCGACAGGCGTCACAAATGTTTGCCGCCTCTCTCTTCATCGGTGACAAACTATATTCGGCGGAAAATCTCGCGTGGCGGAAAAGCGTTGGTGCGGCGGAGATCGGATAAAAGAGTGGGGATGATAGAGATCGGTGGGGAAGAGGGGAAGGCAAAAAGAGGGGGCGCCGTCAAAAGAGGGTGGAGTTTCATCGCGCAATGTGTTTGCATCGCCGAAGAAGTAGGAAAAACGTCCGAGTCGCTCGCGCGTGCCCGCTTCTTTTTTGCCCTATTGCTGTCTCGTTTGCTCAACCAGGCTACTAGGCGTGGTTTAAAAAAGATTTAGCGACTCGTGTGAGGGGGAGGTGGAGCCACCGTGGCGCGAATTCCAGAATTCACGAACTGCGACGCCGCGCTGAAAGCGTCGGGGCGCCGTTTACTCTAATACGGTAGAGGGGAGAGAGGGAGAAGATAGAGAGGAGAATTCGTTGCTGCGGCGGGTTTGGTGGGACGTGGCGGTGGCAGACCGTCGCACGCAGGGAAAGCGACGAAGGGGAAGCTATATCGCTTCAGGCAGACCGATCTAGCTCGACAACAGCCAGTTCAATGCGCGCCAACATTCTCTCAAGATATTACCTCGTGTTCGACTTATGCATCGCCTTTCCATATTAAGCATTCATTTTATTGAGCATTTAATCACATAAAAATTCTGATAGAAACAGTAGGCCAAAAATCTTGAGAACTGTTTGATTCTCCACATAGTACTTCTTCATTCCGCTAACAAGTCAGATCAGTTTCTCAAAAATTACGAGATTACCGATATGCATTTGATTTAGAAGATGAATGTAGGGTTTTTTTAAATAAAAAGGAAGGAAAAAAGAAATGTGCGTGACGATGGAAGTGTTGGAAGTGTCCGCCGAATGGAAATTCAAGTGCTCATGTTGATATAGTTATGATTTTGTGCGCAGGAGGCTGTCAGAAAAAGTTTGAATACTTGGCAAGAATGTGCACAATTCTTTGGTTCGTATATCAATATTCTCTGCACGTCTGATAGGTGCTGGGATATGTTTGTAACAAAATTTTTACGTTCAATACTAATGCTACTTTGGAGGATCAAATAATTATTGTAGCACTCACAATGACAAATAAGATCAAAAACTTGAAGTACAGACATAGTAGTATATGATGATACAATTGTAATATTTTCTTATGTAAAAGTATCTCTTTTGGCCAATGTCTATGCACGCTAACATGATCAGTACATCAGGCTGTATACGCCAGCAAACACAGATTATAACCGCAATGTTGCAGCAACATTGTAACATTCCAACTATATTGCAGAAATATGCTGCACAATGTTGCTGCAATATTGTAATTATAATCTGTGTTTGCTGGATAGGGTTTTAAAGGAGATAGTCTTCTTCACGAGACTGTTCCAGCAGACGTAAAAGTTCAAGAGTAAACGCTGAAGTGAACAAAGTATTATAAAAAAAATCTCTTTACAAATTTTCCTTGATAAGACTATGACGTTTTAGATTATTAACAAATAGTTTAGAGGCTGACTATATTAACAATAGTCAAATTATAAATAAACTGTGTGACAAACACACTTAGCATTAAAGACAACGGCACGCAATAAGATAGTGATAAGATAGTCTAACATTGCTAAAACGACAAGTGTCTCCGGATTTCACTATAAAATCAACCTACATCTTTTAACGCAACATAAACAACTAAAAACACGTACCACAAATATACAGATGAAATGTGATGGAGATTAGTCAAAGACAATATATGTATATGAGATCGTGTGTGCGCGCGTTACATTATAAATCATACTTCGAAGGTAAAGTCTGCAGACTTGAATGGATTTATTGTGTAAAAGTAGCGAGCAGAATACTACTCGGTTATCTTCGCACTAACGGATCTGACTATTCACAAAGTTGGCTATATTTGCAGCGTGGATAGCGCGTGACGCACGCTGGCGTCGCTGGCGATGTTAGAGCGTTCTGCTCCCCACTCCTGAACTCGATCTATCCCCCCTATCGCGTATATTCAATCCCCTACCGACGGTATTGCAACCTACTGAATGCGACAAAGATGGGAAGATTCGTATATACCCCAGCTCGAGCAAAACGGAACACGTGCTGCACGGTGGGGGCGGAGGAGGAGCGAGAATCCCGTTGAGGGGATATCTATTCACGACGAGAGGGGCAACCGACTACTCTCACCCTCGCGATTACCACACCCCTTCCACCAACCAGTGGTGCGCGTTTTCTCCCACATAGCGGCGCTAACCGACGGGATCTTTGTTACTCGCCACGCTCGAGCGGCGTTTCGGTCGTGAGTTTGGATGCTAGTGCCGCCCAGCGGCGATCGCGCGAAACTCCAAGGTCGTCAGGGTGGTGGAAGAATAGGTAGTGGGACAGAGTGACGCCGAGAGAGGAAACGTGCCGAGAGTAGGGTGGACGAAAGGGAACCTGGTGGGGGCAAATCCAGAGAACGTATCCGACGAGGACGGCGACATGTTACTCTCAGGACGCGCAGAACGTCAGAGTGGGTCGAGAAGAACGGGTGTCTCTTTCTCTTTCCCTCTTTCTCTCGCCACCTATCGCTCTGTCCTCGTTCCTTTCCATCATTTTTCTCACTTCCACACTCCTCGTGGAGAGGCAGAGGAACAGAGCTCGATGGCGGGGCGAGAGCCGGCTTACTACGCGGCGAAACGCTAGCACAGTGCTCAGTCTTCAGCGATCAAACCGCCAGGCAGTGTGGACCTTCCTGAGCAGTCACTTCTACTCTTTTCCTTCTCTTCTTTTTTCTGACTGGTGACGACAATCGGCAGATAAGACTACAAAATCACAACAGCTATTCCTTTGTTAGTTGATTTCACGATTTGAAGTAATTTTGGACTTGGAAGATCTTCAGAGTCAAGCTAACATCATGCCAAGAAGACCTAAATAGAAGATGGTCAACGGTTTCGGTGCATAGTGTGAAGATAATCAAATCCCGGAGCAGTCTCGGAATAACTTATAGATTGATCTTCAGAATTTGGAGCAAGAAATTACTCGTATTGGAATAACAGTGAAGAAAAAGATTAGAAGCTGACAGACGAATGGAGTTAATAGAAGTTTGGAAACAGATGTTTAGAAAAATCTATCGCGGAGAATGGTGTTTATTATTAGTTGAAACTTCAGAGGATATGAAATCACGTGAGAATATTTTCAAAAATGAGAAAATAAAAAAAAAATTACAAAAATTATTCAACACACTGAAAATGGAGTTTATGATACAGTTAGGCGAATACAATATTAAACATGAAGAAAGCGTATCATATCTGCAAAGATAAGTACTATGACGTCAAAGTGTAATCGCAACTGTGGAACCGCGTTAAACCACGTGGTACGTTAAATCGTTAAAGCGTGAATCTTCTCTATTTCCATTCACAAGTATAAGTTCGCTGGAGATGATGGATAAAACCGAGATCAAGTACCAAGTACCAATCTTCAAGTATCAAGTACTCGCTACCCGCGAAGATCGTAAGAACACTAAAGGTGCGACGTAACAGTGACCGTACTACGAAAATCGTCGTATCGTGTTATCGTTATCCAATGACGATATAACTACGTAGAGGAAGAAACTGTAAAGAGGCGCTGCGAGTGCGGGAAGTGTAAAATGTAAAAAGTGGTAAAGTGGAATAAAACTGCACTATGCCGTTTGCAAGCATAAGTTTTGAACGTAATATCCACTACCCATGTAATTGACGAACTCGTTACTCGGACGTGTGATCTGCCGACGGCACTTACGATTCGAGACGTTCAGTGATCAAATAGACAAGTGAGGTAAGAAAAATCTGAATAATAATCATGAATTATAATCCAAATAAAATTTTTACATTCATCGTTTTATTGCTAAAAATTTATTTCTAAAAATTGAAAATTGTACTATCCTCGCATAATTGCAAAGCGAATAAAAAGTTATCGAACAAGTTATGGCGACAAGATTTAAGGCTCGAATATTTCTTGTATTCATGGATATTCACTATCTATGGTTAAATTGATAAAATTTATATATTAAGGTGTAACGTGTTTTGACGATAAAATTAATTAAATTTATTAAAGAGACAGTTTAGAGAATTACTGATAATAAATGAAATATTGCACTCTAAGTAACTTTGTAAATATCTTTTATATGATATATTCTCAATATGTCTTTAGTATTTTTTTTAAACTTAAGTCTGTAATATTTAAGGAAAAGTGAGTAAACATTTTTTTTCTTCTGTAAATATGGAATAAAAAATAACTTTTAATCTTCGCACGCATGCATCCTACAACGATTAATGTTAATAATATAGTGGTTGATGACATACTGAGAATCGAGTAGTGAGAGAAGAATGTATCATTTATGACATTCTTCTCTCACTACTCGATGCTTCAGTGTACTCGATACAAAAAAAAATTGGTTTTTAAATTCACCTGTTGCTACGTTTTTCTCTGCAGCAGAAAAAAATGCAATCGCGTTTATAGGCATTCGTGTATTCGTGTTTCGAGAGTGTTCGTATATCTCGTGAAACGTATCGGGACTTCCAAGAGGACTTGATATCTCGCCGAGAGTGAGTTGCGCAAACAATTTTCGAGTGATCATCGTTACTGGAATAGATCCACCTGTTAGGCAAACAAGTTGACCGCAAATGCCCTTCACTTTAGTGTGCCTTGAGAGTCCCACCTGTGAAGGTTTTCGTAGATCGGATGGTGGTCTGACGGGTCGGAAAATTCATCAGATCCTTGGAAAGGAAAGGCACGTGCCACGTCGCAGGTAGCAAACGTCCCAGGGTTGCATTGTATCTCGAAGTAGCGTCAATCCACAAATCGTGCCACTCTTTTGAGGATCTCAATTCTACGTTTGAGAGAATCTGAAAGTCAAGTGCTCCATTGAACTTGTCGGAATTAGGCGGAAAAGAAGACCTGTGCGCGCTTTTCGAAAGGTTCGCTCGCCGTATCGACAGGATATTTCGAGCTTCAAAGACTGCACGCCTTGATGCGCTTCTTAAAAGTGTCCAATCGAGTGTGAATTGTCTCTTCGTGAAATACTGCTTAATGACATTTTTTAATAAAAATAAATTTAACAAAAATAACATAACACTTAAATTTCGGGAGTTTTGCACTTTTTTGACTTTAGAATCAATCAATCTTTTATTCTTTTGAGGTTGGGATTTTTAAGTCTGTCAATTCTGAGCTAAAAATAATATATATGATTCTCACTGTCCAGTTTTGTGAAATATTCTAGTCTCTTTTTTTTCGGATGTATCACACAAGTTGCCGCTCGTTTAATAAAAAAAAATTTTTGCTAATGTGATTTTAAACTATCTGTATGGATGATTAGTCTTTTATGAATATCACATTTAATTATATGATGAACTATTCATCATATCACGTTGACTGGTCACACAAAATATATTTTTCAACGTCAAATTATGAACGTTTTTCCATACAATACAAGCGTGCAGGTTTTCCAAGGACAATCGAGGAAGAAACACCGAAATAGAAAACGAGAAAAGAGATAAACGATCACGAGATCTCGATTGAATGACGTATCAAGAAGAATACTAATCGCACGCGATCAGGTCGTTAGAGACGGATATCGCGATAATATTTCATAGCAGTTAGACTTCCCTTATTGCGAAAGACTGTAAACGCAAACATACATCCACAGGTATCTTTTAATATTCGCGGAACAATACTTACATCTTTCAAAATTATTCCTAATTCTTTCGAAATCGCATGAAACAATTATAGGCCTTCTTAACGTGATATAATATTCGAAAATGGATATTAAACTTGAAGTAATATTTGTGTCAGTGTGAAAATACGTGATTGAAAAGAAATTTTTGATCGAAAGTGATCAACGAATCGCGGAAAATGTCAATCTCATGAAAGAACGAACTACTGTGTCAACATCTAGAAGCGCGAGCGAGGCCCTCTCTCGGCCGTCGGATGCTCGCCGCACTTAGTCACTCTGATTTCTCGAAGGCGCAATTAGCGCTGCGCAATTGAAATTACACGGTAACTTACTATGCTTCTTTTCCGCCAAGGCTTCAATCAAGAATTTAGACTTATTCGTCTTGATGAGTCGAAAGTTACGAAGATGACAGATCGCGTAAATGAAAAGGGAAATGTGCGACGGATAGAGAGATTTCGAAGAAGAGTTGAAGAAGCGAAATGCAATCATCGTACTTACTGTAAATGTTTTTCGAGCGCCTTTTGAGCAATCGGACAATGCATATTGTTAGAAACAAAAACTTAGCCTAGAAGATAATCGTAGAGTGTCTCTTTAGTGGCTTAGAAACGAAGCTGTCCGTATAAGCTGCGGTTTGGTACATACCCTCGGGGCCCACCCTTTTTTGGGGTCTTATAGGGGCCATTATCCGATCGTGGAATTTGAGATCTGGCCCTTTCAGCCGCGCGTCAAATTATCCTTGAGCACAATGCGCCCGTTGATTGATATCTTCAGTCGTTGCTCCTGCAACGTGGCTCGCTCGCTTCGTTCGTGTTCTCTTTCTTGCGCTCTTTCCTCCGCGCGCGGTCTCCCTTTCTCCCTCCCTCACCATCCGTTGACGTCCTTTTTCCTCTCTCTTAGGACCTCGCGTAGCGGTGCTGTACAAAGCCCGGGCCCGAATGCTTCTACTCGCGGACTCACACAGCCCTTCTACTTGATTTATTCTAAACCCCTGTTCGCGCTCTCCCCCCTGATCCCGACCTCAAACTCGTTTCTGCCGTCGAGAAAAAAATGATCTTACGAAACTGGAGAGCGCTCCGTAGTATTGTGGTCCTTACCTCGTGTAAAATTCTACCTCGATGAAGATCGCTATTGTACCGCGCATAGACAGAGAATCGCTCTCTTCTCACCGAATTTACTCAACGCGCTTGGTGTCAAAATGATTTCGTTTCTACGCTTCATAGACTGATCGTTCTTCGTGGCATGATTCGATTTGACGTCAGCTATCACCGATACAAACTGACATTCGTCGTTTAACATTTTCAAGCAAGCGTTATATATATACCTATATATATATATATAGCTAGTAATCTATTAATTATATTTGAATTATTAAAAAAACATATATATATATATATATATATATATATAAAACGAATATATTGTCTTAATTGTGTTAGTGTTGCATGTTTTGTGGGTGACGATAGTGAAAATGGGAATATCTGAAGGTAATCGTATGCACGCGCGTGCGGAGCGTCCGTTCGGCGCTATACGCAGCACGATTTTCCTCGCGTCCTAATCTAAACTTCGTGAGTTAGGGATCAGCGATGGAAGAAACGAGATATCCGTATCGGCTGCAGCTGTCGGTGAAATGTCACGTCGTTTCTGCCGTGCCACGAAAGCGACACTTTAATCACCGGCAATTACGCATGGCCGAATTAGGTAATTACCTTACGTGCCCGTGCGCGCGCGCGCGGTTGGGAGACCCGTTTATATCGTTACTTAGTCCGTTTTAGCCCGAGTTAGTGTAATTAGCGCAAGACAGGGTGTACGCGAGCATATCATGCGCCGAGTTCGCCTCGGGAACTCGTGTCTTGCCGTTACCCCCGTCGTTCCACTTTCCCGCACCCGCTTACATCATGTCGGTCGTCCGTTTTCAAACTTTCCCGTCATTAGCCGCCTTTTTCTCTCTCTCTCTCTCTCTCTCTCTCTTTCTTTTTCTACGCGCTGCTATACGCGAAAAGTACGATTTCTCGTGAGCAACGGCTTATGCGTTGTGAAAAACTGCAAACTAAGCGGAAACGTGGGCGATGATATGTAGATACGTCGCGGAACTAACATCGAATGCACGATTTCCCGATGCAAAGCGCAAATGTTATTATGTAAATTGCATTTTATTTTTTTCGCGGTGGAAACTCGCGTTTCGAAATTTGAAAATACGCGTAAAGTTAAGCTTGCTGACATCAGTAGTCGTCGCCTATCATCAAACATGCAAATGCCACTCTACGAAAATTTTCTCTTCACTTTAGCTTTTATGAAATTAGTCGCGAAGAAGAACACTTTTTGCGTGCGTGTACACCAGAAAATCTCGTTATAAATTTTTTTTCCTGAGAAAAATTGATAGATACAAAAACAAGCGGAATTTTGCGGGACAATTTTTCATGTAGCAATCATTAACCAGTGAAGAGAATCCCTCCGCGAATCCTCCCATATTTCGTCGCTCGTACGTGTGCTCGATGATTCATGTATTCATTTTTACGAATGCGCATCGACGTTCCTACTGCATTTCGAACAGTCGAACGGACGCTGAACGACCGGAAGAGAGTTTTCCGCGTCGCCGCTGCTAAAGGCGGGTTCAGAGAGGATTTTCCTCGCTTTTCCACTGGCTGCTAGCGTAACGAGGTTACGCCTTAAGTATTTGCTCGTCGATTTCACGACGATGGGGTCCTGCCACCACCGACGCCTGCCCCCTCCCGCCTTCTCCCCTTTCCTCTTCGCCGCCGGTTCGTCACGCGACTTCTTTTACCGTAGCGTCTATATTTCAAGAGCTCGAAAATTCATCTCCTTCAAAAATGTTTTACGTGACTTTTCTGTCTTTCGTCAAGCTCAACCTGCACCTTCCATTAAACTTAACAAGTTTCGAGGCGAACCGTAGCAATTTCTTGAACGCATTGCGTTTATTTGTAGTATGTTATATAATTATATCATAGAGTTATATAACATTAATTTATTTTCTTATTATATGACGAAAAATACCGTTTCTATGTATGGTGCAATTAAATTTTAGAAATCTAACAGAAACATAAGATTCGATGCAATTTGATCTTATAAATATCTTACTTAATATCACGTAAAAGTAAGAATATACCCGCTAAAGGCAAAGAAATATCGCGCAATTTGGAACTAAATTCTCTACCTCTCTCTCATCTCGCTTCTACTGTAAGACCGAGAATGTTAGAACAAACTCGCTGACGCGCACGATAATTTCCTGCCTCCTTTACGATCTCGGCTCTCCTAGTATCTATTACAGTTCAACTTCTTCTATGTTTCCAAGATAGCGTCAATTAGCTAGAAGAGCAGTGTTATTCGCTTGAACACTTGTTGGTATTTTACATAACCGTCGTTACGTTGCATCATCGTTACATAAAACCCGAGTCAATGTTAGTTATTAAACTTATAGTGATGTTGCTCAAAATAACGAGTATTTCAACATTCGCATAATAGTCCTTATTCTGATAAAAATACCGCACGAGCAATTTTGGGTACGTTCCAAGATAAAGAAAATCGCATGAATAAAGGGACATGTAAAAAATAATGCGTAAATTATAAAATTTGTTTGTTTTCGCTCAACTTACAAATATTTAAAAATCGTAGGGCGTTTTCTTCTACTGCATGTTTTGACGTTACATTCGGCAGACCGGCCTGAACGAGAATTTATAATATTATATGGCTTCGATCGAGCCATGGGAGAAAGGATCGGTGTCGAAGGTATTGATCCTTCACAGGTGTGTGTTAGAGGTGTTATCTATTCTACCTTCTTTTCACCCTTCGATTTTTCTAGGTATACCTAGCTCGATACCTTCCGAGAGGGACGTACGATCCCGGTTCAGGCCATGCGTAGCATATAAATATTGTGCACAAATAAGGACGGGTCGTGTTTATTTATAGGAATTTTATGAAAATCTCGTCTATACCGAGGGGTGAACACGGGGATGCAAAAGAGTTCGGATAACCACCTGGGTTCGCACGGAGAACTTTCTTTGATGTAAACTAGGCACACGCGAAATATTCTGACAAAGTATTAATTTTGCATATTATATAACTAAATATTTATAAATTGTTCCTTGTTGTTTAATAAACTCTCATCTTATATGCAAGAAAGAGAGAATATTTCTTTTTATTCCTTTATACAAGAAGATGAATAAAAATTTAAAAAATTTCGTAAACAAACATTGTCACAATTTTAAGATTTGCTCAGTGGGTTTTATAAGTTTTTTTTTATTGAGGAACGTTTTGTGAATGGATATTTTATTTAATTAATACTGAAGACGTGCAGATGTAACACATTCTAATCAATTTTTGAAAATGTTGACAAGCCTGCCGCCGAGAATTTCGTGAGAAACTACGCGATGGTCGTTTTATGTTAATAGATGAAGGAAAAGTCCCCTCAGGAGTTTTTCTCATGGGGTTCTAAAAGAATATTAATAGGTTCCGTATTCCCGTCATCTTACGGCGTCGAATGTTCATGTTAAAGAGTTAGACTCAGACTATCCTGAGCCATCTGCCTGTCTTTTGATTTCTATTCTAACACCTTTTTCTCGTATGGGTTACGTAGCATTATATAATTGATCCTATATAGAACAATAAATAATACAATAATATTGATTAAAACAAGCAAAGGTAAAATTGAAACAAATGCAATATTACAAAACTATTTGGTTCTTAGTAGCGAATTTGAATATTTAATAAGTATCAGTTTTTTATCCTTTTTTAAAAATTTTTATAACAAACAGGAATATACATAGACAATTCATAAACTAAAAGATTATATCTTTTAGAAAAAAAATAAACTTATTTATAATAATAAAAAATATATATATAGAATATATTTAGTTAATTTAGAAAATAAATATACATAATAAATAAATATAGTAATCATTCGAATTTATCAAAATAGAAATAAATAAAATTTTCGAGATGGTTATCATATATAAAAATGATCAAAAAGTTGTAGAATTGGAAAGTATTCAGTAAGAGCAGGCACATATATTTTCAAGTTAAGGTGTAAACATTGGAAACTAAAAAACTCGCTGCCACCAAATTGTGTACGGTCATTGGACTCCGAAGACGATATTACATGGAATAATCTGTGGCCGGTGTTCCCCTATGCCTTTTCTCTCTTTTACCTCCTCCTGTTGATGCGATTTATAATGAACACCCGACTCACCGCGCGGTACTCTCGGCGCCGATCGCCTAACTTCGAACACGTTGCCAGTTGAAATATAAAAAAAAAAAAGGATTCGACGTAACAATAATATCAGAAGGAGGGGCAAGCTGGAATACGTAATGCGCTAAGGACGAAAGCAGGGCGCGCCATGGACCAAGCATGAAATTGAGTTTCGTTCTGAAATCGACTTTCGACAAAAAGCATTATCGGATAATATCTCGTGGGATAAAGAAATTATGTTCAAGTTTTTCAAAACGTCGTGATTATATTTTAGCGGCAGACACAGCTCGCATTTTCGTCTTTAAACAATCTTGGACAATCCTGGTATATAAAATATAAATTTAATTCGTAATAAATTGTATATTCGCGAATTAATTTTGGAAAATCAAATATCGACGACATTGGTATTGAATAGCGTATGACTTGAGGCATGCAGTGCGTTGTAATTATGTCAAGAATATACTCCTACGGTTTCCTTCCTTACTGAATTATTCATTCATTTGTAGGTACATAAATGTGCTTGTACTCGCACATCGCAAAATCTCTCGTGGTCCAAGAAATAAGTAGCATTAACAACGCATTCATTATACTAATTACTATTATAAAGCACTGTCATGCGTCGAGACCATACATGTTATTTCCTTTGCTTAAAAAAAAAGGGGGGCTCGTACCAATACCTGGGCCGAAGGGATCGAAAGGGGTCCGTGGAAAATCGCGTGTAAAAGTTGATGCTTATAGTTGAACTAATTTCGATTCAGACATATTTCGACCTCGAGGAATCAAGTTGAAATATAATCGAACAAATATCTATTATTTCAAATAATAATAACTCAATCTGAATAATATACTGACGTCTTTTCTTCATATTTTTTTTTATTAAATTAAGATAATCTGATAAAATATGTTAATTGCACGACATTGAAACATTATATTTCCTTGAAGAAAGAAATGTAGTAAATTAGTTATAGTTTGTCGTTTATTTTCATACGCAAGAATCACGGATACTTGTTGAACTTTTGACCCAGGTGTATCCTATTATTAAGTTGCAAAAGTTTGAAACCTATTTCAATCGAAATGACATGACCGTCAAGATATTAATCTAGTATTCTCTTTTTATTTTAGATTCAAAGCCCGGTAAGAAGATTGCATTTGCTCAGTAGCACCGATCGGTAAGATACTCTGGAGAACTGTTAAGCCGTAAGCTATAACGCAATAACCAGTTTTACTAAAATGCAATAAAAATCCCGCAATATATAAATATATTGTTTTGCATGGCGCAATATTTAATATTTTTACGAAATTAGATGATAGACGTTTCGCGGAACATTCAAGTGTTCTTGGGAGTCTTCAGGTTCTTTCGCGATACAAATTTTTCTTCAACTTAGTGTCTGCCTTTGCGAAATTCAAGATCTAAATTTTATATAGCCCGTAAATGGTATCATGTAATCCTACGCACAGTCATATCAAATATCAATATTGAGCAAAGTCGCGCGACTTCGCTGTAGCTTAGAAAATGTGTTGCGTAGTATATCGTCTCGGGGTCTAGATCGAGTCGAGTCGAATGAAGAATGCGAGGCAAGACGGTACGTCCCTGCCTTCGGTGGGCAGATAGGGTATAATCATACCGAGTTTCGTATCTCGAGGGGGGCCACGGGAAGATGGTCCAACATCTGCCGCTGCAGGGAATCTCTGCCCACATGCTGGCCGGCCCGCGCGCGCACGCACACGCACACGCGCACGCACACGGCACGGTACGCGCGTGTGTACCGGCCGCCTGTACAACACACGCGCACACGCGACGCACACGCGTGTACGCACGGCAAAAAGTGACGTAGGTACACGGTGGGACGTCATGTAAATTCATTCGAAACACATGGCAGGGCTCATGGCGGCGCGGCGCGGCGTTCCTCTAGCGCGCAAAGGGTTTCGAAAGAGAAATCTCCGAAGAGCAGGGCGCGCGGAAAAACAAACGATAACTTCGACTTCAACTTCGCGTGTGCGCCCCCTTAGTACCGTTATTCCGTGCAACGTCGCCGCGGCCGTCGAGCGTGGATAAATTTGGATTTCTTTTCTTCCCGGAGCCACTTTAGCAATGCGATATTTTAGTCGGCTACAAGTCATCGCAGTTTTATTTCGTGTAAAAATGTTTAATGAAAAAATTCTATTGAAATTAATTTCGACAGAATTTGTAAGTTAATAAATCATAATATTCTATCTATGAATATATTTATTAATCAATATAATTAACGAAGAATTCTTGTGAATTTCATTAGGTATACATTCAGATGAAACCTATTATAATTTAGATATGGATTAATTATGTACAATATAAAATATCGGCTTTATTAAAAGATAGTTTATGCATGACATACTTTATCACGAATACGTTAATTGGTTACTTCATTATTTTAATAAATACATTCCTCTTGCGTAACGCATAAATTTATTATATTCCCGTGAACGTGCGAATTAGCTGCAATTTAATTTTAGTCGATAGATACTCATCTTTGTTATTATTTACACTAGCCTACATTACGTTATATCATTACATTTTCTGCTACACAAAATAAATCTGTGCTTCCAATAATTTAATAATTCTATCACAATAGCGAACGCAATTGTTTTTACACAGTATATATTTTACACGAAATATTAACAATACTATATCATCGTTAAAGAAGAGAAATCAATTGGAAAAAAAAGAATCGTGGAACTCGCACGCGGAGCATTACAGAAGTGTTCCTAATTAAAGTCATCAAGCCAGTTGAACAATTATCATTAATTACGTTGCCTCAACACTTACAACAACCATCACGTCTACCGTCGCTGAGAATAGTCCGTTCGATTTCACTTATGCCCGCATAACGCTCCTATTATAAGAAAGAAAGTAGGTATTTACAACACTCGTGGAGTACATCTTCGATACGTAGTATTATTAGGAAAAATAATATCTTGGTGATTTAAGTAAAATTGCATTTAAAGTGATAGTGTCGAAAAATATTTAACTAAAGAGATGTAAGTGCAAAGAGCAAGTGAAAGAGGAAAAGGATGCTGTTTGATCGGAGTGGCTCCCAACAGTGAGGGAGAGACAGCTCAGTTGTCGCATCGTTCTCTTTTTTTCACGAGAAAGAAACGTCTTCGTTATGTTCGGCAAGCCGGAAGATAAAGAGTAGCAAGGGTCCCTTCGACGAGAGTCGATTTCGAAACGCTTGCAGACGCGCCGCGTAAAGAGTACTGTGGCACAATAAAGATAACGATTTACGTTTGACTTTATCGTCGGGAAGCCAGGGCCAATGACTCGATGAACCAACTTCGTGTTTCGATGTCACGATTTATGGGCACTGTGCGTGGTGCCTTCTGAATGCCAAGGTAACGTTTCGAAATGGAGTGTGCTTAACGCGAAGTAATAATTAACAGCTAATTAATGCTACACATAATTAAATAGCTGTAAATTGTGCTCGTTTCCTTCGACATTTAGATAATATTAGGCCATTATTATAGCTTTATCTATAAAAAAACAGATCATATCTTCAAAATATTCTGAATTTAATTACGATTAATTCATTTGAAAAATAATATAGAATTATACAATTTATATAAAAATATAAAAGAATTGTTATATGAAATTAATGTTTTCCACGAAGATATCGTCAACAAATATTGAGATATTATGTTATTTTAATTCTGTCATTATTAAATTATATTATGGATTATTGATTACACTATTCATTACGAATGATAAACGATAATAATGTACAACATTACTACAAGTTATGTACTCGGCGAGTTTTTAATGAGAAATGAAATTATGATGTGCTGAAAATAGTCGATTGATTTTTACAAAAAAAATATAGCTAATAAAGGTAAAGGACTACAAAATATATATATATATATATATATATACCTATATATATATATACATATGTACTTATAAAGATCTCTAAGGTATACCTTTAGTTGAAAAAAAAAAGATTCTAAGATCTGTACGACTATGTGCACGGCGGAACGGGACCGTATTTCTCCGTGAAATTTAACGAACCCTCTCGCAATGGGACACCATTAAAAAAAATTCTTCAGCGTCATGTCGTAGAACGCACGCAATGGTGATGAACGCTACGAATGGGAGAGAGAAGGAGAAGAGATATTAAGGGAAAAAAGAAACAAGAAGAAAGAGCGACGACATCGCGAGGCGTTTCACGCAAACTTATGCAAATGCAGTGCAACGCGCACACATCGCGCAGTTAAGTAATGTTTACGGCTGTATACAGACACTATAATTTACAGTTCTTGCATTCTCCGATACGCGACCGCGGATTACGTTTTTGGAACTATAATAAAAGACGGTGAATTTCAGGTAGATAGCATGGTAGAATTTAAATTAGAATCATTGATGTGTGCTAGATATTTCTTAACGATTTATAAATTCCGTGCAAATAAAGTATTTGGAAAATTCCATAAACGATAATCGAGATATCTATATCATAGATCGGAGGCGTTAAATTTCAGGAGAAATTAATGCCCGACAATATGAATAATTGTCGAATGTTTTAAATACAGATAATTTTTTAAATATAGATAACACAATTTATATTAATGTTTTAACAATCTCTAAAACTTGCAAAACAATTAATATTAAATCCTTCTTCTTTTACTTCTTTCTTCTAACCTAACTCATTCACAAAATCCCGCTCTCGCACGATTTGCCGATTTTCCGACGATGTTCTTTCCGAGGTAAGAAACGACTTATCGCACGCATATAGACGGTTTTAATTATTTAACCTGACATCGAGTGCACTCCCGCCGAAAAAGTTTGTGCCGCGGTAGAAACTCGAAAATGCATTTCGTGCACGTAACGAACTTAAATGGTCAGAGCATGCACACCGGTTGCCCCGCGACCATTATCAGATCAATAATTGCGAAGGAGAGCCAAACTTCTCAAACTTTGGAACTGTTTCTAGCAAATTCATACTGCCACTCGGTCTCTAACTTCTCTTTGTATATCGATAAAAGATATCCTTGAAAGAGAGTTATTAACTATGACAAAGTCCCTATTAACTGTAAAAGTAATTGCGATAAATTCTGTGTTCATCTATTTATTTACAGATATTATAGAGAAAAATTAATAAAAAAACGATAAAGCATGAATGTACGTGAAACCCACTAGTTTCAGATAAAAAAAAAAGTTTGTCTAGACGAAAAACGCGGCAATTACATTGCACGCTTCTAATTTTAAACATGACTATATTCTGTGCACAATAACTATGTACGTAGATTAGGCCAATGTAATCTTGACTGACAAACAACTGTTGCGGTGCATAATTATTATTCACCACACGTTATAGCATGTTCCAAACCGCAAGGCGGCGCGGTGCCTAGAATCGATATTCTCAGGTTAACCGTACATCCACACACATATAGGGGGATGCTCATGGCGTTGATCGTCACGTCCCCCAATTAAGGTCTCGAGGTCGTTAACGAGCAAAATAATTAGGCTGTACACGATGGCGAGGATGACGAGGACAACGCGCGGTTCGTTAGTCCGTCTTCCCTCTTTAGGGTCGTACTATCGTGCTATATCTGGCAAAATAATGGACAAAATAAAAAGCGGCAGACGTATTCTTTAAGTGGTGGCGGGACCACGTCGTGAATTAATATGTTTAGCGAACAGAAACTTACTTACGGAATTCCTGCTTGAAAGATTATTACGCGCTCGGAAGAGATCGCGGTATTCTCGCAAAACGGACGAGTTTCAAAGCGTGCGAGTAATTGCTGGATCTCGTTTTTTTTCTGTCGACGCGAGCGCATTAAACATGAGCGTTTATTTCTGTGCGAAAGCGCAGAAAGCCTTGCTCCGATTCATCGTTCGATAAATCGAGATACCCAGTGTACGCTCCATCACGCGTGTCGCGTTATAACCAATCACAATCACGCTTCGCGGCTGTCTTGCGTGATCGCCGATAATAATTGGATTCGATCGGAAGTTCCATCCATCCGTGGAGCTTTGGGAGTTAAAGCGCGGCGTTAACGAAACTTTAACGTCGAGTTAACGACGCGACACGCTGAGCCGGTAACCCATAAATGCGCGGATGCCAGGGGGTTAAAAGCGAGAGGAAGAGGGAGAAAGAAAGAGAACTACGAGAGAGACGAAATGTGAGAGGGAAGGGAGAAATCTGTGAGCGCCACCCTTTCGTATGCAAATCCCGGGACACCTGGAGCCAAAGGCCGCATGCAAATCGGCGCTCGGGCCATCTGATCGGGCAGAACCTCCGCCTCTGAACCGGTCCGCGTTTTTTGCGAGTCCCAAAAATCGCACGTCTCTACCATATTCTTTTTTTTTTTCACGGTAGTAGAACATCGCTGGGAATTCGACTCGCGAAATTCAGTGCAAACGCGATATCGTTATAACATCGCCGCGAAATTGCATCGCTCGCAAATTAAATTTATGCAAACAGATGTGTATCATATTATACGTTTAATTATTTTCCTTTCCTGTTCTCTCTTTCTCTTCATTAGTAGATGTAATTAATATAAGAGTATTCTTGATTTGTTTCCAATCATTTCCTTACAGATCCCATGACAAATTACCATTTATCCCTAATCACGAGTCCGTTCATCGATCAAGTGAGGATCGAACCGGAGCGGCGATAAGCGCACGTAATAACCGATGTATATCTAAAATGACTTGTTATTACGTCAGATAGCTGATTTAAAAATTGGTACGCTCCATTAACTGCAAAAAAAATTGTTAATGTATGATTGTACGATGAGCGCGGCATGGCGATCGCATAAATAGCGACTGCTTCGAGCCATTGATTAATATCGAGCGATTGAAGCTACCGTGAATATCACCCTGTTAAAATGATACCGCACGAACGGACCGGGTCGGCGCGGCGCGGCGCGGGTGCGCGCGACCGTTTTTTCATTGATTTATTTCGCGCAAAAAGCAAGAGAGAGAGAGGGAGAGAGAGAGAAGCACATTTATCGGACGTGATTATCTGCGCCAGTAGCAGCACGCCGTGGAATACGCCGCGCCCTATCGTAATCATTAATTATCGCGCAGATAAATCGATTGCGCGCGACCCTGCGCGCGACACAAGTAACGCCGGCTCGATACGCGCATATATATACAGGCAGGTAAAAATGAACGACAGCGTAAGCGAAGGTGTAAACCGACGGGCAACCGATAACGCGAAAAAAAAATAATCGCGCGACGATAACGCCGATGAAAATATTATTGTTTGCGCACGCCACATTCCTCACAGGCGCGCCACGTGTGCGTTTTAGTGTGCGTGCTTGGAAAACCAGCTCCGAATAAGTTCTCTCGTCGCATCGGTATACCTCCGTAGTTTATCAACGTTAGCGGTATTTAATCAGATAAATTTTCGGGTGTGCACGAGGGGTATTGCATTATATAATGATGTAAATGATTCTATTCTGTGTCTCGCTCGTGTGCGTGTATGTATACACGCGTAGGTGCACGGAAAGAACGATTTTTTCGAAAGATCTAAAAATTTTGCTAAAAACAGATCTGAAAATAATTTTTTGTTGAATCATCAAAATAATTTGTTGGAATGTTAAAACTGATAA